AATCAGGTGGCTTTGGCGACAGCAGTTTCATATACCAAGGTTAGCCTTTAACATCTACACAAAAGCATGTTACTGGTAGAAATCAGGTTATGGCCGTCTAATGTCTCCTTTCATCCTAGATGTAATTATTTTGAGGAACTCAGCTTCCATAATTCAGCGTGATTATAGGAACCGGATTTCTTATCTACCTGCCGTTTAATAAATCACCTCAGTGCACCTGCATGTTACTAACACTGTTTTGTCCCATATTGTGCACCATAACAACAATATGATAACATCATTGCGCTTATCAGAAATGTTACTGAACAGTATGATGTGTCGTGACCCTGGAAGTCGAATTAATGTAGCACACTTGTTTTCAATGTAACAGAATATTAATGGCCTAATTCATAAGCTAAGATACATGGTGGTGATACATGCATAAATACAGGTTGCCAATCATTCACTATATCACTTACTCTCAGTAACATCACTATGACATGGAGACTTTATCATGGTGTGAAAAAAATGCTTACTTAACGCTGAGTATTAAAAAATCTATGCTTTACAGTACTCACCAAAATGTGTCCATAGTGTTGAGCATAAAACACGAAATACCTACTTGAATTCATATGGTTAGAGATTCATGGTTAATTATTATGATTCATTATTATCTGCAGGCAAAGTTCATGTTGTGCTGAAAAATGTGTAACTATATTCAGCCCTATCTCTTGGAGATACATTAATAAAGTCCATCTTAATTTGTAGGTAATGATGATGAGAACATTTTCTTTGTCTTTCAGCCTGTGGAGTGAATACCCTTTGTGAGGAAGACATCGTAAGACACAGAAGAATGACAGAGCATCCAGTTGTGTGTGTGTTTTTTTCCTTGCAGTTGCACCACACTGCTTCCGCACAGTCTACTACATTTTTAATAAAAAAGAAGTTTGCTAATTTTACTTCTTCTGTCATCTTCTGATGTATAATGAAGGGAGGGGGGGGGTTACCTCACGGTTAACACTGTGGAATGAAAATGGTGAAGGAGATATAAATGACAAAGAGTTACACAGTCACATAATTTGCTACCCTCTGGTATCTCCCGTGTGGTCTGAATGCTGACATACATTTGCCTCGGTCTTTTTATAACTGACCTAACTTAGCACAGTCTCTCTGTTTTTACTCTCCACAAGATTGAGAATGAGTGAATGAATGAGTTCCACAATGATACCAAAACATGGGCACATTGGAGAAAGTTCAGCATTCGTGAAAGGTCTGTATTAGCAGATAATGTGATAGATGTGAACTTGGAATTGGAACACATAAATAGCGATAATACACATACATGATAATAAAAAAAAAAAAGAGTATACGAAAATTAATTTGTGGTCGTGATATTAGACCACAACCTGGAAACCTCATGTGTGAGCTAAGTTGGCAAAGAGTTGGGAAAAAACAGCCACATGCTGAATCATAATGCGTTACACACTGTATTATTCACTTGTGTATTCATATTTGATTTACTGTGTGGAGGTGTGGGAGACCATGTACAAAATAACATGACAGTCATTCATACTACAAAAGAGAGCCATATGGATTGTAAACACTGTAGGATATTGTGACCACTCTAACACACTCTTTTTAGAGTCATATCCTCTGAAGTTCATGAATCATGTAGAATTTAAAACAGAGCAAATGTGTAAAGCAAAAAGTAATTCATTTTAAGTAACATACAAAAAATGTTTTCAGACAGCAAAGGGGGTTATAATTTAAGAAGAGAGGATTATTACAAAAAAAACGTGTTCATACTGCTGCGAAGAGAATGTGTATTTCATTAAGTAGTAGTTAGCTTTTTTCCTACATGTAAATCCAATCAAATTTGAAAAAACATGTACATAACTACTTTTAAAATGTTCTTTTTTCTTATACTGTGTATCCATTGTGAATGCAGTTGAAAGAAAAAAGTGTACTTAAGTGAAAAAAAATAGACAATTTATTTTCAAGTTATACTGAAAATACTGATTGTGGAGGTTTCTGCAGCCTTGATTTAAAAAATACAAACCCACAACAGTTTTTTTTGACAGATGGACACCAGGAGGAAAAGGAATGCTGCCAGATACACTTTAAACATATGTCCCGCCTCCGGCGCTGTTTGATTGGTCCACAGTGTTGTCAAAAACTCAGAGCTCAAAGCTGATTGGTTCGCATGTCGATCCGTTGAGCGACAGCAGACGCACCGCCCGCTGATTGACCCGAGAGCTTGGGAAGGAGGGCGCTTCTGTAGTAAGGCTTCTAGTGGGCGGGATTTCAGAGGATTCTGAACGCTGATTCGTTAGTATGTTGCATCAGTCTGATTCCCGGGCCTCTCATTGGTTCATTTTTTTTATCTCCGTTTGGTTTCTGCATTGACAAACACCGTTAATCACGCTCATTACTGGGCAGCACGTCAAGGTAGAGAGGATTAGCCATCATAATATGGGAAGTCAAAGGACGTCTTTTCAAAATAAAAGTCTAAAATCTGTTAGCGTTGGAATTAATTTAGCTTTCAGTCATGTTTTGGTCGCATAATACTTTATGATTGTTTTCTAATTTTTGAGTTAATCATGTTCATGGACTGGGCATTTAGATTATATCAAGGTACGTAATATTTATTAAGCATAAGTGTTTACTTTGAAGGTTGAGACCGGAAGTTGCTTTTTGTGAGTGGCTAGCTTGATTTTATTGGCTATTGTAGCGTGTAGGCTGAGTATTAGTGACCCACAGACACTCCTGCAGCCAGGACAGGGAGTAATAATACCACACTGTCTGTACAAACTTGTCTTAATATATTTAGGGAATAATTCGCCTTAAATAAGCCTTATTTTTTTCCTTTAAAAACAACATTTTTACCACTCGGGAATCCGGTACTCTTTCAATGGAAATGTCGTTCTGATGATTTTTCACTCATGAGCGGCTGTCACAATATAACTAGCTAGATAGCCTGTTGTGAAAACTATCATTCAAAGTATATTTTGCTGCTTTTTTTCCGTCGCTGTGGGGAATTTAATCCAAAACCCATGGTGCTGTGATATACACTGTCTTACTGGAACTGTAGGGATAGTGGACAGACGCCACACTCTGGTAAGCAACCTGTTCATCTCCGGAGGATTAACGTTATATCAGCGCTAGCTGCCTAGCTAGCTAACGTTAGTCACCTACAGAGATGTAGCCCATTAGCTGTCTGCTAGCTTGTGGCTCGAAGCCTTTAGCTTGTTACAGTTTTTCACCTGTCATTTGACATACGGCTCATGGTATCAGCGTGTAACCAGTCAATTATGCAGACATGTCAAATTGCTGGTAACCCTCACCAGTCGTGAGCTACATGTCTGAGCATTTGCCGTCATGTCATCCATATTAACGTTACCCAGAATTTAGGCGAGGCTCCTCGTAATAACAGCGAGAAAGTGTCAGTGTTAACCCTTCATATGTGGTGTATAACGTTAAGCAAAAGACCGGAAGTGTCATCATTATTACCGTTTCGTCGGTAGCCGATTTATTAGCATAATGTTAATGTTTGGCTCCTGTGCTGAATGCAGAGGCAGTCGCTGGTATTTTGCAGATGCAGAAATTGGCCTAAGTGATGTAAAGGCGATGCTCCCGAGTTAATTATTCTAAACACAGGCCCTCTTCTGACAGCCTGACTGGCCTTTACCAATCACTGAGAATAAAGTCTTGTGATAAATCCAGCACAGATCATCTAACGCTACCATAAAGCATGTTCCAGTAAATGATGTTAAAAGTTTGTAATTATTTCAAGCTGCTTGCTTACACACTCCATAGTGTTGGAATGGGAATAACAGGCAAATGATTTCTGTTCTGTTATCATGTAATTTAAATGGGTGAAAACTAGCCTGCTGTTGAATTGGCATGGCCCCTACCTGCTTGTTAAAGGCCTTAAATCTTGTAAAAACTTATACAGTAAAGCCCTTCCGAGCAGCACAACCCCCAAATTCTCAGAAATAAATCCTGTCCTATTTGATGCAACACAGGGAGATGTTTTTTTTCTTTTTCAGAGCCAGCTCACACCCTATGGATAGTAACTCATGTCTCTTGGGCCTGTTTGCCTCTACGGGTTCCAGTTTGTGTGGTTGCTTGGCTATCCAGTACATTTGATTCCCCAGCCAACTCATGCTGTAACAGTGTGAAATTTTTACACATTCAAGAAGCAGGGGTGCAAAACACTGATAATAGTGTTGTCTTTTTTATTGAAAACCAGATGAGCTCCAGTCATGGTGCTCTATCTCTGATGCAGTTTAAAAAAAAACAGCTATACAACATATCATGGAAATAGTAAGATCTGAAAAATGTTGAATGTATTTTCAATGTATTTTTTATCAGAGCCATAATAGTAGAATAGGCTAGGGCGGTACCTTCATATCCTCCTGACATTTAACCAGGGTATACAATATGATGGTCTTTGTGTAACCCCCACCCCCTTTTTTGTCTTTTCATTGTGCCAATAATCACCACCTCCGGTTTACTTGAAGATAACCTTTAACTCACTAAGTTAGATGTGAAAATATGCTGGCTCTACACTGTTTTCCCCTGCTCTCTGTCCTCTGTTGCTGGCCAGCTTGTTGCTGGCCTGTTGTTACAGTAACATCATCCCCACCAGTCGCAGTTATCATCCTTCTCCCCAGACTGACCTCTGGAGGAGCGTGTTGTGCTCTACAGAACTCATTACAGCATCTCCCTATCACTTTAATAGAAAGAGTCAGTATTTTTGATGCTATTGAAAATCATATCTTCGGGATTTATAAATGAACTGGTATAACGCAATACCTTGATACCACCCAAGCCTAGTAAAGAAGGATGATTGTACTACAATACTACTAACATTTTGAATCAAACTGCTTTTCTCACAGTTCATAGCTCCCTCTGTAAGTTAGTAAAATAGGCATTGACAACTGATATTTTTATATCGAAGAAGCTATCTGTTGATATTCACATTTCCTTGTGTTCTTTCTTCTCTTCTCGCCATAGTGATGGATAATGCTCATACTAAGACGGTGGAGGAGGTTTTGGGCTTCTTCAGTGTAAATGAGTCTACAGGTCTGAGCTGTGAGCAGCTGAAGAAGAACAGGGAGAGATGGGGACCCAACGGTACTCATGGAAATAGCTTCTTTTTTTTTCATTAAACACCAATTACATTTCTTCAAAACAAACTGACAATTTCACTGTAGTCTCAGGAGAGTAAATCTCTGTGATGATGATGATGATGATGATGAAATTACTATAGCTCGTACTACTACTGCCACTCACAAAAATAATAGCCATCGTTGTTATAAAAAACATATACAAAAAATCATCAGGCTTCCAGTGTGCAGCAGTCGTATTGATTAAAATGTTCAGTAAATGTGTACATGGATACACACTTACCCTGCAGTGTTGTGAATCACGTCATATCCAATATATATCCTGTTTTCAGTAGAAGGAGCACTTTATATCTGCATCATGTTCAAGTCTGAGCAAGCACAATATCAATCTAGTCCTGCTGCTGGGAAAAAAGAAAATTATATGCACCAAGCACTTTGGGAAGGAAAATAACTGATTACTTTTCCACAATGTAATTTATTAAACAAAGTACCAGTGGTGGTGATGTAATTTGTTCTTTTTCTCCATCCTCTCTGCTTTCTCTCTGCCTTTAACTCTTTCTGTACTTACAGAATTGCCAGCAGAAGAAGGTGAGCTATCTGTTTTATTATCCCCTTTATTGTTACTCTTTCTTTTTCTTTCTTCCATCGTCACATTAACTAATTTACATCAAAGTCTGTCTGTGTTTCTTTTTGCTGCTGCTCATTGTGTTCCTCTGTTTCCTCATACAGGGAAGTCACTGTGGGAGCTAGTCCTGGAACAGTTTGAGGATCTGCTGGTGCGAATCTTGCTGCTGGCTGCGTGCATCTCCTTTGTAAGAAAATACAACTGTCTGTACAGCACACGAGCAAACACATTCACACTCAAATTCACATAATCAAGTAGTGATGACGATGGAGTTTGTATTAGTTTAACCCTGCTAGATATACATACAAATGAAATGAGTTTTAATAACACAGATCTACACTGAACACAAACATTCACCTTTCTCTTGGTTTTGTCTTCTGTCTCATAGACCCTGGCTTGGTTTGAAGAAGGGGAGGGGACAATCACAGCCTTTGTTGAACCCTTTGTCATCCTCCTCATTCTCATCGCCAATGCTATTGTAGGAGTATGGCAGGTAAACAGTGTTTGCAGGTTTTTATGGACTGGCAATATCACCATATCAGGGTGGTTTCTTAGACCATTAAGTAACTATAGTGTGAAATGCAACATTTAGCATTTTTCGGTGGATTTTGGCAGGTGGACAGGCGGGGAGCTCCGGGATTTAGCAGCAGGGGGGCACCTTAACGGCATTCATCTGTACACACTCCCCACACTGCTGTAACACAGGCCTAATTGAAAATTGGCAAAATATCCCTTCAACTGCACAAGACTCGAGGAAAGGTGCCAGTCATGAGAGACTTGCCGTCAGTCCAAAACTGAGGTGCTGCACTCAGTTGCCAGTTTAGTAGGTACACTTAACTAAAAGTAATGCAGTCTCATACAACAGTTGTGCAAAACATCTTTCCTTCAAGTTCAGTTTACATTTTGTCCACCTCATTTATTTAATTGACAGTGGGCTGAATAACAGAAATACAAGTCCTTGGATTCGTTTCAGAAACACTGACTACATGTGGGTTAACGGTGTATTTCATCTTGTGTTGTTTGTTTCTTTTTTGATGTAATGTATCTAGGTCTGTTGACCTAGTTTGGGTTTTAACAAAGACCAGTCAGGGCAACCATGGGCTTTTAAAGCCTCTTGGATGTGCCTCTGTTTCCTGGGTTTAGCTTCTGTGCTCGGTGGTGTGTTGTTCGGATTATAACATTTATATGCTCACATGGATGGTAAGAATCAAACAGAATTAATGGGTGTGTGTACGTGGGGTTTCTGAGCTGTTCATGAACCAGTCCCCACTTTTAAATCACTGCTGAAATTATCCATATCACAAACAGAGAACTGCCCAGCTTAGCAATACCTCATGTTCTGTCATACCTGTAGCTTCCTGTCTCTCCTTCCCTGCTGTCTTTGTCTTCACATGAGGGCAACCATGCTCGAAGGGATTTTTCACATTAACAATCCTAGCTTCCACATATCGACAATTAAAATAAACTCATAGAACCTTTCTATGGCGCTGTGTCCTCCAGGAGCGTAATGCAGAGAATGCCATTGAGGCTCTGAAGGAGTACGAGCCAGAGATGGGCAAGGTGTACCGACAGGACAAGAAGAGTGTCCAGAGAGTCAGAGCCCGAGACATCGTTCCTGGAGACATTGTGGAAGTCGCAGGTGAGTAGTGGCAAATTCTCTTCACCCTCTCAAGTAAAATTCAATTCATTAAATGTCTCTTGAGTGTCAAATAGTCAGCCAATAGTTGGTTTTCTCCTTTAAGACGTAAAATTGATTTATGTATTATTTAGACCTGAAGAAGAGCTGTACATGCATGCATGTCATAGTGTGCAGACTCTGTTTTTTCCATCCCTCTGTCCTGCATCTAGTAATTATTATCTTGATGTGTGCGCTTTTGTGAACTTTTTTGCATGGTTTGTTTGCTTTCCTACCATGAACGAACCACACGTGAGTCAACTTGGAAGTGGACAGAGACCCACTTTTTCAGGCAGCCTTGGTTTGGTTGTTTCATCCACACAAGGGTTCCACTGACAGCTTTTACACCAGCAAAAACAAACCATACTAACCAGGCAAAAGGACCTGAGTTCGTTTTAACCAAGCTAAACAGATTAGGTGTAAAAGCTCCCTTAAAAGGTTTAGAAAAAGTGCTGTATGCAGTAATGTCAGCGATAATCTGTGGGCTACAAGATGTTATACACTTACGAATTTAAAGTGGGATTGTGCTGTAGGAGGTTGTTTCAGTCAGCAGTTTCATTGGTTAATCCATCTATCCATTTCATGGCACTTCTCTGGGTCCAGGTTGCATTAATTGAATTAACTTTTATTAGAAATAATAGTTATATACTGCCTAGAAGTACTGAATAAAAAGTGATATAAAGAATAGTTCTAGGCCGTATCGTCCCACCCCATTCGTATATTTGATGGTATAGTTGTAAAATGTGTTAAACTGCATTCTATGTTCTATTAAAAGGTCTTTAAAAGTCTTAAATTTAACTTGACTCCTGCACAAAGGTGTCATTAGTATTCAAAAAGGTAACGCCATCAGAAGGCAGCAAACAAGTATATGAATGGGAGCCATCAATAACCTAAAACAGAAGCCCTAACGTGTTTTTACACACTCACTTGATATGCTGTTTTAACAGTGTATCTGTAGTACTGCAGTGAGCTTGGAAAGACCTTTGTATTCCAGCACAATGCATTTACACTGGATTGTTGTTTAGACATGGTTGAAATAACACTGCGGCATCTTTGTTTAGTCATTCCTGGCAAACATCTTAATCTCTGCCCTTTCCTCCGGCTGTTATCGTCATGGAAACCCAGTGAGAGGCACACACGGCCTTCATGGAAAATATTTGATTGGAGTGTATATCAGCGAAGCAGTCTCAGAAGGTTTTGCTATATGGATTCATGAATGCTGAAATGAAATGAAGGGTCTGAATTAATCATTTGTATCTCTTTTGAGCAGTATGTTAATGATATATGGGACATCTAAGCTAATGGCCTCATGTGTAAACCTTTTTCATCCACTTGGAGTGCTTTTTGAGTGCCGCCATTTTTTATCAAGTGTTTTAGAGTGTTAGAGTGCATGTAGAGTTTTTAGGTGCTTGTGAATGCCGGTGTTAGTATACATTGCTCTGGCTTGTTTGGGAGGTTGTGATGGTTGTTTAGCAACTGATTTGTCACCAATGTGACCAGACATACAAAAGGAGGTGGAAAATCTAAACGGGTCAACAGCATTGTTTTCAACATCGGGCGGTTGTGGCTCAGAGGTGGAGTGGGTTGTCCACTAATTGAAAGATCGACAATCCCCAGCTCCTCCCGTCCGCATGTTGAAGTATCCTTGGGAAAGATACTGAACCCGATGGCTGTTTCATTCGTGTATGAGTGTGTTAAAAACTGAGGTGCACATTGTAAGGTAGCTTTAGCCACTAGCGTATGAATGAGTGTGTGAATGGGAGAATGTGACTCGTAGTGTAAAAAGCTCTTTGAGTGGTCGAAAGACTAAAAAAGGAGCTACACAAGCGCAGGGCTAAAGGCTTGTGCAGACGAAACATTTCTGGGGATCCCTGAGAGAAATTGACCACTGGGGAGTACCCGCTAGAACCACATACCTTAAAGGGCTGTTTTTCTGTTTGCATTTGCACTGCCAGAAAGAACACTGAAGCGATATACTGTAAGCCAACCGATGGTTGGATAGAAATGTCACTTCCGCATAGACTAGTCAAGATTTTGTATTTCCACCATCACATATAGACTCAGTAAAGTCTGGACTTCATTGCAAGTTCATTTGTCTGTTTTCTTGCATTTTTTTCTGATACAAGCTGTTTGTGTTTTGTGTTGTCTTTTGTTTACACGGTTAACAGTTTTTCTTAAGAATGGCAGTTGCAGTTGCTGGATTGGTTGTCCCTCAGAATGTGTGTTCCAAGAATCCACAATCATTCCTAGTCCTTGCAGTGCAGACAGAACATAAAGGGGTATCCTTAGAACAATGAAAAAGCCTAGGGGAAAAGAAAATTTAAATTAAGATCTATTCTTTGACCAGGCTTTTTCCTCCTAGACACAACAGAGCTCAATATAACGTTAATATGAGATTTGGAGACCATTTTCTCATACCTCTTGGGTGTATCATCTCTATGCAACAACTCTTTACTTCAGTTCTGATTTCCAGCTTTTCGGGTTTATTTTGTGGCTGAATTTAATTTGTAGCTTCTTAAAATATGAATGAGGATAGTGATAGGGAGACACTGGCTACAGCTGCATTTATAGTAAAAACATAAAATGAGCATGAGATGGACTATATTCATAATAAATATGCCACAATAATATTAAAAACTGGAGCACCTTCCACAACAAGCAAACCAACCTCTGTTTGTATTTTGCCTTGACCAGCGGACTTCACGACAAGCCAACTGGCTGTAGAAACAGGTGACGAGCTTTACATTCTGCCAGCTGAGTTGCAGGTGACACCATCACTTGAGTCGAGCTCAGACTGACCACTTCACACTGTTGGGATGTTTCTCTGCACGTTCTAGAACGGTTTCGTCTCGTCTTCGTCTCATCATTGGTCTGAACTGGGCTTTAAATTCAGCTCTAGAGAAATAGCCTTTCACATGTCTCAGCCTGACCCTAATTTAAGATCTTAAAATGCTCTTTTTCTTTTCTCATTGCGGTCATTTAAATTTGTCTCAATTTATCAGCTCTTGAGATAACCATAAAATCCAAAAGAAAACTTCACTGGCTCATGAATGAGCCTGCACAATTTCAGAAAATTGTCTCAGTGATCAAATTCAAATCTCAGCTTTCTGTTCTTGGAGTTGAGAAACCTCTGAGAAGAAACAAGTTACAAGTCACGCTGATTCATTCTGTCACTTCTTAATTTTCATAAGAGGGAGTTTATAAGGAACAAATCACAATTTAGTAATCTCTGAATAAGACGCTAATTTATTTCTGATGTGACAAAGAAAAGATTGCTGTGAGGTTGGAAATGAACCATTTTGTCCACCTGCCACTCTGGCTGGTGGATTTCAACATCTACCAGCCACTTAATAGACTATAATTGTTTTTTGGCTCTTGAGTGAAGCAAATCTAGCAGCCACTTGCATAGTTTATCAGCATTTGGCTGGTGGCTCGTGCTAATTTCCAGCCCTGGTTGCGAGCAGCAAAGTTTCTCGGTCTGAGAATGCTTCAAGTGCTTCTGAGCATTTTTCAAGATCTGTTGGTGCACTTCTCTTGTCAAAGTTGGCAGTCGGACAGATGTGACCAGATGTGACCCTGTCCTATGAGTCCACTTCTTTTTGCACATTTTACAGCTGAATGGATTCACATAAAAAAAAATGTTTTGTGTTTGAATAAACACATTGAGATCAGTTGTATACACAATTAAAACCAGTCCAGCTGGGTCGCATGAACACTGCCAGCTGTAGTAACAGTCTGCACACACACACATTTCATCTTGACCCAGTAAGAAAACTGTTGAATCCTCCAGATACCCACTGCTATTTCAGGCTGCTCGGAGAGAGGAAGCAGGGTTAGGAGTGTGTGTGTGTGTGTGTGTGTGTGTGTGTGAGATCCAGTGCCCTCTGTCTGTAGTAAAAGTATTCGACTTCCAGAGCATGGGAACACAGTGACACTAATCAGAGCTGGAACAACAGGACGGAGCTGGAGGCTGTGTTTAATGTGGCTCGTGCTTTTATTATCTTTCCGACGTTTCAGGCCAAACATAACACAGTGACCAATATGACTGTTTGGGTACAGCCTCACATTTTTGGAATGAAGCTACCAGTAGTTTGTGTTAGTAATTTTGTCTGGTTTTAAAGTACATGTATCCATCATTATTACAAAAAAAGCAAATTGATGCAATCACTGTTTTATAGTTGTATTCTTGTCAACTAAATGATTACTGTGCAGACCAGCAGATTTGAATGGTATAACCTTAATGTGTGTATCAGTTGTAATGAGTTCTTTCTAAAAAACACCTACCTGTTGAGGTCGTCTAGTTGCAGACCTTTGAATTTCAAGTGAACCATTTCAAGTGATTATCATTTTTGAGTGCTCACATTAAATTATTATCAAGTACTCGCAAAAGAGCAGGGTCAGTGTTAGCTTATCTTTCTGCGCTCCACAGACTGTAGAGATTAGTCTACATAGCACGTTAGCATTGTCAGAAATATTTATTTATCTATACATACCAGTTTCTAATGTTTATATATTTATATTAAGGGTTTCAGTGCTCATTTTCCACAGTACTGATGCAACAGCTCGGTCTCTTATTGTTAATGTTTAATACAGTCTTTCTGCTGTTCTCTGCTACTAACCAAGAAAAGAAAAGTCCTAGTTGTCATGTTATACCCTTGTTATGTTTATCTTTTGATAGAAAATGTTAATTGTATGCCCTCAATATGAATTTTCCCTGTTATGTAATACTTCCAAAAATCAGTTTTGTGCCTGGTTACCATTCACCTGTAACGTTAGATCGAGTGAATGAAACATTAAATGTTATCTGCAGCTGCGCAGAGCTGTCACTTTGGTGAATGGATCTCTGTAGATATTCACAGATAACAGTTACATTTGCCTGGATCCAGAACTTTAAATCCACCCACTCCACTGAGTTTAAGTTGCCTGATCGTCTGGCATTGTAACACGAAACAGCGGTTTCTTGGTTGAAATAAAAAACAACCTGGGGCGCCCACTAGCTCCTGTGGTAGAGCAGGCACCCCATGCACAAAGGCTGTGTCCTTGCTGCAGCAGCCACAGATTTAATTCCAGTCCCTGCTCCTTTTCATGCTAAATCTACCCTATCAAATAAAGGCAAATAATCCCCCAAAATATCTTTAAAAAAAGAAATTAAAAAACAACCCATGAGTGCCACGGGGGGGATTAACGATTAGCCAATTAGCACGATGGGCTGGACTAACATCGCTGTCAAGCTCTTGTCAGGCAGTGCGCTGGAATGAATGGAGGGTAATAATAACAATGCCGACTGCTATAGACCAGAAAGACACTGCCATCGAGGCTGCTCTATATCGACATGTCTCTCAATATCCCCTAACATCAGTTTATTTTACTTTGCTCTACTCCACTGTAAAAACCCCAGTAAAACCAGTATGTTAGCATGGCTAGTAGTATACGTAGGTAGTATAGATAGAGTGTAGAGTAGATAGTACGTGCTTTCTTTTACAAAGAAAAAAATAAATTTATTATTTTATACATCCAAATTAAGTATTTGCCCACAAGTCTGATTTTCATCAGTTCAGATAGGTCTGGTGTTGTGCTTAGTGATGGTATTTTGAGATGTCTGCACTCTGGAGAAGTCAACATGGCTTAGAGTGACAGAGGATCTTAATTTTAACCATCTTCGTGTGGACCTACTCTAAGAATTCATCCTGTCGCAGTGCCGGGAAAACGGCCCCAAAAAGTGTGCCGAACATGTATAAGACCGACACAGCTGTCACTTTCATACTACCCTAAATCACAAAATATGCTGTCTATTCTATACAACAAATGACACCTTCTATCCCTAAAATAAAACACGTCAACTGTATGTCAACTTACATTCCAATATTCTCCTGTCCAGTCCCCTCCACACTACTGACATATGACTTTATAAACGTGAAAAAGAGAACAAGCATCAAAGCTATAAATGTATAACAATCTCATCCAATGATGAGTACTTATAGGGCTATTAATTTAATAAATGTCTTTGATTATATTTGAGACATTAATTAATTTATATGTTTCTATATTTTTACATTAAGAAGACAACATTCTGAGGCAGGAATATCCCTGCTCTGGTAAAATGTGTCAGTGCTCTCACCAACAATTGCAAACGTTTCTTTGTCGTGGTTTGTTAGAGCTCATATTAAGTGTCAGCCTCTCTTTAGTGTCGAAAGAAAGCGAAAGGGTAATGTGTCAGTGCAGCCTCTCTTTCTTCATTTCTCTCTCGTTTCTCGCTGGCTCTCTCTGAGTCACTCACTTATGGAAACATTTGTAAACAGTTTATAAAAAAGGCTGTGCTCTTCCAAGAGAAGGAATGCAGGAGTCCGTCCTTATTTGCATAAATAAGACATGATTTCAAAGGTCATAAACATATAATTTCCTCTAGAAATCTTCCTGGACACAAGTGGAAAATTTCCTTTGTATCGTTACTTCATAATATTGAAGACCTTAGCCAGAAAAGAGTGTTTATACGCACCTTTAATAAAAATGCTCTCACATCTCCCTGTACTCATGAATTACCCGTGATTTGTCTTGCTAGCAAAAAACTGTGCCAATGAAAAAAGGATTATAGCTTATGTCATGTGCAAGCCAAACAACCCTTAATATTAAGCTCTTTTATGATGGAAAGAACCATGAAACAGTTTCAGAACTTCCTCCTCCTCGTATTTGTAAAAAAAGCAAGCTAGATAAGGAACAGACAAATGCATCAGTGTCTTGGACAACAAGGAAAAGTCCATATTAAGTTGTGGTTAGGCCAATGAGATTCATGTACTGATCTTTGTCTGTCTGTTTACTGTTGAGAGTGACTGTGCAAACAATTTCATCCATTTGTAATTTATTTTTACAATTAGTAATACTCACATACAGCTTTGTGTGTCAGGGTGTGTCACAGATACAGTTTAAAGAAAACATTTTTGTCCAAAATCATTGCTACTAACATTTCAATCGGGAGAGAATTGTTTTTTATAGTAAAAGAATATTTATTAACGTGTACATCAGAATAAAAATGTGGAAATCTGGTGGTGGTAGAGGTGGTGAAGATGGGATGAGAGGAAGATGGAGAGGTGCTGATGATCTGGATGAGTAGAGGAATGAGCCTTTGTTGAGCTTGTTCTGGACACTGGATATGATGGCTGGAGGTGAATGGGGTGGAGGAGGGCGCGAAGATTCTGCATAAAATGACGGCTGACAGCAGCAGAGGAGAGAGCAGATTTAAAATTTGGCAGTGGCATCCTGATTGGCTGATAGAGATTGTGGCAAAGTTTGATTGGATAACTAGAAGAGTGAGCGCCCAGAGTCAGCTGATGAGAGGAAGTAGTGAGAGTGCGATGGAGAGAATTGTGGATGGATGAGCACAAAGGAAGTCTTCCTGATTCAACGTAGGCTGAGCTTCATTTGTTAAAGCTCCCCTGTGGGATTTTACTTGTCCAAAAAAGCCGAGGCATTACAGTGTAATGCCTCGGCTCACTAGTGAGGTGTCACTGGGATTGGTCTATACATGTCAGTCCCACCAAGATTTCATAGGGTTTTTTCCCTGCATGATTTCCCGGCAGCTATTCAAAATAATTGAGGTGCATGTTGTGATTTTTTTAGGTGGGTTTTTTTACAATGAGAGTGCAGGAGCAAGTGAAAATTGCAAATTCTTTTTTCCGAATAATTCATTAAAATATAAATGCAACTTCCAGTGAGAATAAAACCATTCTGTTCTGAGTCTGTGACATATACTGTCATCCTGATTCTTTCGGCACACGCAGTAGATTTGGACGCAACCACCTCTGTCATGGTGATTTGTCTTTTCTGTTATCATCACGTTTCAGACATTCTCCAGGTGTGTTTTGCGGTAGAAAAGTGTTTGTCAGAATGTCAGGTGTTCCACCTCAACGTTGAACACGGTGCAAAACAGTTTACCCATACTTTTGTGCCGACCATCAGGGAATTACCATGCTCTGTGTTTAGCAGTAATTTTCTTTGGTAAGTGTGAGACGTTCATGTTGCATCTTTACAACCAGAAACAAGACAGAGGGGTTTTTTTGCGGAGGCATGCTATGATTGGTGAAGCTCACAGGAAACTACAATGATTGCGCCTGGCAAGTTAAGCAAATTCAGGAGCAAGTTTACATCTTGCAGCTCTGACAAATGTCAGAGAAGTGAAGTGCGTTGCTTGTTTAAGCCACCGTGCTTTGATCTTAAAAGGAGTGCGACTGTTTGCTTGTCGTCCATGGAGAGTACTTTTTAACCCCAGCTGGTGTGTTTAATCATGATCTTTAGATTAGCTTGTTCTTTTATGATGTGGAGGTAGAAGAGGGGAGGAAGGGAATCCAGGCAGTTTCATTCCACATAATCAACATTTAAGTCATTAAAAATATTAGTATTAAAGTATAAAAATATTAGATAATGTAAAGTGGTGTAGAGTATGTCATGCTCAAGTTTTTGGTCACTACTCGGGGCTTAAACACCACCTTTGTTCCAAGTTAAATACAGAAATGAAAAGTGAAATTAAGATTTGTCTTTTCAACACCCTGCAGTTGGTGATAAGGTCCCAGCTGACATCAGGCTGACGTCCATCCGTTCCACCACTCTGAGGGTGGACCAGTCCATTCTGACGGGGGAGTCTGTGTCGGTGCTCAAACACACAGACCCTGTACCAGACCCCCGTGCTGTCAACCAGGACAAGAAGAACATGCTCTTCTCTGTGAGTCTCAACAACCATATCTGTCTTTTCCTAATTCACATACAGTCAATGTAACACACACCACCAGGGAAAGGACCAGGGAGAATGGGACTACCAAGTGTTTAAGTTATACCTGAATGATTTCTATTATTGTCAATATTAATGAGTCACACTGTTGCACTAGGAGACATTTTCCTTTATTACCACTGTAGTTTATTTTGACTCTATTCCTCATACGCCATCCTGCAGCACCAAACACTAACTCGAGCACCAAATGTGGATTTATGTGCTGCTGAAAACAGTCCCCAACAAATGCACGAATTCCTCTTGTTTAAGTAGCGATCGCTAAAAACTACAGTGACCAGCAGATTTAGGAAATGATGTATTTAAAGATTCACATCTACGAGACTAACACATACAGAATACAGCCAGCCTTATCTTTTAAGTTCAGTGCTGGAACAAAGTTGTGTTGTTACTACCATCTGTACTGATCTTCGTATGCAGTATAATATATTTATCGTTCACTTGCTGAGGCAGCAGTCACTGAGCTCCGCAGCTCTAAGAAAAAAGAGTTGCAGTGACATAAAGCATTTATCTGCTACACGAGTCACACATTTTTTCTCTTTGCTCATGGCACGTCTCTAAAATTACCAGATGCATTTGAGAGGATAAAACAAAGTGCAAAACACTTCAGACCCATTGAAAATTAAGTAGAAAAATACTTACTTTCTTACATATTTAATTTATTTGTTTATGCACTAAAATTTGTTAAAGATATTATATTATATTATATTATATTATTATATTATATTATACATCTTACATTTAATGGTACAATAGATGACAAGACATGTGTTTCATGTACACACAACATGACCAGAGAGTGTGACAGGGAAAATGACCATTATTTGATCAGACAAAGCGGCTGTGGTGTGTGTGTGTGTGTGTGTGTGCGTGTGTGTGTGTGTGTGTGTGTGTGTGTGTGTGTGAGACCTCAAAGACTGCTGAGTCACCAGGTGGTCTGTGGTCAAAGAACAACAGCCAGTGATGTTTTATTCAGCGCCATCACTCTGACAGGCTGCAGGTCTGCAGGTTGTCTTTGTTGGCGTGGTTCTCTCAGTGCTGCTGTCCTGAGTGTGACTTCACACACTGATGTGTAGGCAACAATTTAGAACCTGCTGTTACAGGGGAGAATGAAATCATTACACTCAGATATTAGATTTCACTGTCATTGCTTTATGTGGGAGCATATGAAATAGACAAAGCGCTCAAAGACACATACAGATTCTACTCACGTCTCTTAAACGGCTCTCTGCTGAAGAACTACAGAAACGGTGCGTTACTACAACCCAGTATTTGTCATGATGACAACAAGTTTGACAGCAAAGTTCATGACCTTTTCCTCAGGGCACCAACATTGCAGCGGGCCGTGCCATCGGCGTTGTCGTGGCGACGGGGGTGCAAACAGAGATTGGGAAAATCCGAGATGAGATGGCCTCAACTGACCCTGAACGGACCCCACTACAACAGAAACTAGACCAGTTTGGAGAACAGCTGTCTAAGGCAAGGACCTCTTTGTGTGTGTGTGTGTGTTAGTGCCTGGCATCACTTTGGACTCTAATTTAATCAATGTTTTTGACACTTTCTAAAACAGTAATCCAAAGATTTAATACACAGTATCTCTGTTACTACCCTGCACTTGTGTTTGAACCTGCAGGTCATCAGTGTGATCTGTGTGGCAGTGTGGGCCATCAATGTGGGACACTTTAACGATCCAGTCCATGGAGGCAGCTGGCTGAGAGGAGCTGTGTACTATTTCAAGATCGCTGTCGCACTGGCTGTAGCTGCCATACCAGAAGGTCAAACATCTTATCTATTTATCAGTGCAACAAAATCACTTCTTTTAGATGTATGTTTTTACTTTTTTTTTGTTAAAGACACTGAGCTGGCAAAATTTGGATAGAGGAACAAAATAGCTTTCTCCACTCACTCTAAAAGTCTTCTATGAGCCATTGATTAAAGCACATGAATCCAGCTGCTCTTATGAATGCTGAATGCTGCTCTCTCAGTGGCTGACAGAAAAAAAACAAGGCAATGAAGCTGTTAAACTACCTCTCCCTCTAAAAAAAAAAGCTTTCTCCTCACCATCGTCTGCCTGTCGTGTTTTCTCCCAGGCCTCCCAGCAGTCATCACTACCTGCCTGGCACTGGGCACCAGGAGGATGGCCAGGAAGAACGCCATCGTCCGCAGCCTGCCATCAGTGGAGACGCTGGGTTGCACTTCGGTTATCTGCTCTGACAAGACAGGAACACTGACCACCAACCAGATGTCAGTCTGCAGGGTAAGTTGTGGGAGGAATGTTAAATCAGAATGATACATAAAAGGCTGACATCTGCTTTGTATCAGGATTTCTGTGTGGGCCAGTCAGCCTCATTCAGCTCTCAGTATTTGCCTTTTAAATGACAAAGAAAAAGTACTTGTTTATTGGTAAATGCAGAACACAGAAGGGCAATGAGGTGCATGTTTTTCAGCTTCAGTTGCGTCTCACTGCTTTGATTTGGAATATCAGTGGAAGTTAAACTGTCAGCACAAGGTAGAGTGACTTGCTCTAGATCAGTGATACTCTACTCAAGGCCTGTGGGCCACATCTGACCAGTGATATGGTGCCTGGTGGCCCAGCAACCATTTTCTTCTTCACAATGAAACTAAATTGATTCACACTGGGAATTTTATTCTTTTATTTTTTGTACTTTGAATGTCATTATGGTGCCAGGAGGCATTAAAAAAACATCAAAATAGAGCTTGCTTATTAAAAAAAAAGCCAGGGGAGGATTCCTCGGACCCCCCGACAGATACCTGGGCTAAGTTTTGAATGTCTTGAAATCCTAGTAACACCACACTGCCTGGCCTGTGCGGGGTTGCTGTAACTGGATTTTTACTTTGTAAAAGATGAGTGAGGACAGCAAATGTCCATCTTAACTGGCTCCTGGCCTCCTGACATTTTGCTAAAAGCAGCCCATGGGCTCTAGATGAAGGGATGGCTTAAGCATGTAAGAAAAGATGACAAACTTGCTGGTCTGTGTGGACTCAGTATTAATTTCTTCTCCATAGCAGCACTTGTACATGTAAGATGTGACCATTGGCCTTTGTGACAGGCTATTTGTCCCACCCTTTCTACAGAACGGTATTAGAAAAATCTACATTTTAAAAAAGTGGTGAAAACCTGCATCAGTGCAGCAAAATAAGGTTCAGGACTTTGCCTCACACTCTGAAGAATTTCCATGTTAATCAACAGGAAGTTGCCACTTAGTGTTGTGTCGGCTTTGATATAAAAGGCTCATGTGCTGGAATGACCAGTTGGAATATGAAGCTAACCCCAAATATGATCTTCTAATATTATTGAACTAATAAACTACTGCACTGTCTGTCTGTCTATGTGTATGTGTGTGTGTTTAGATGTTTGTAGTAGACAGTGTGTCGGGGGAGCGCTGCAGCCTGAGCGAGTTTTCAGTGACTGGATCTACTTATGCCCCTGAAGGGGAAGTGTGAGTGTCTTTAACCTTTAACCTCTAACCCCTGATGGGTTATGGATGGATATGGATTATGAGAGTTTATCTCTTCCCCCTTTTCTTACAGTTTGTTTCTATTGCCTCTACTCTTCTCTCTATATTCCTACTCTCTCTGTCGTGGCCTGTCCTGCTGTTTCTCCAGTTATAAGGATGGCTCAGTGGTGAAGTCCAGTCAGTATGAAGGCCTGGTGGAGATGGCCACCATCTGTGCACTGTGCAATGACTCATCACTGGACTACAATGAGGTAAGACATTACTGCAGCGACGACTCAGACCATCATAGATTACCGTATACGGTGCTGGAACATGTACAACTGGAAACTGATTCTGCGTTATAAATACCGTGAACAGCATACTTTAACCTCTGTTCCCTGTGTGTGTGTGTGTGTGTGTGTGTGTGTGTGTGTGTGTGTGTGTGTGTGTGTGTGTTCCAGGCAAAGGGTGTGTATGAGAAGGTTGGGGAGGCAACAGAGACCGCCCTCTGCTGTCTGGTGGAGAAAATGAACGTGTTCGACACCGACCTGAGAGGACTGAGCCCTGCTGAGAGAGCTACAGCGTGCTGCTCTGTAAGTGGGTGTGTGTGTGTGTGTGTGTGTGTGTGTGTGTGTCTATATCAGGCTGTTAACTGGTAACCACCGGTTTGCGACTGGGATAATCTGTCCAAGTCCAACACATTTAAATGTCTCTGGTCCTTGTCTGGTGAAAATAATTCCCCTCGAGAAGATGCAGGTCGTACACCGTGTCTTAACAGTAAGTAAGCCTTGCTTTGTCCACACTATATGCACTTCTGTTAATTCATGTAAACAAACCACATACAGTCAGGTCCATAATTATTTGGACAATGATACAGTTGTCGTCATTTTGGCTCTGTACACCACCACAATGGGTTTTAAATGAAACAATGAATACCTGCTTAAAGTGCAGACTCTCAGCTTTCATTTAAGGCTTTTTTCAAAAATGTAGTATGAACCGTGTAGGAATGACAACCATTTCTTCACACAGTCCCCCGACTTTAAGGGCTCATAAGTATTTGGGCAAACTAACATAATCATCAATTAAACAGTCAGTTTTAATACTTGGTTGCAAATCCTTTACAGTCAATGACTGCCTGAAGTGTTGGACACATAGGCATCATCAGATGCTGGGTTTCTTCCCTGGTGATGCTCTGCCAGCCCTTTACTGCAGCCGTCTGCACTTCCTGCTTGTGTTTTGGGTGTTTTGCCCTCAGTTTTGGCTTCAGCAAGAGAAACGCATGCTCAGTTGGATTCAGGTCAGATGATATGACTTGGCCATTGCAGAACATTCCACTTCTTTGCCTTAAAAATGTCTTTGGTTGCTTTTGCAGTATGCTTCAGGTCAATGTCCATCTGCACTGTGAAGCATCGTCCAATGAGTTTTGAAGCATTTGGTTGAATCTGAGCAGATAATGGTGCCCCAAACACTTCAGCTTTCATCCTGCTGCTCTTGTCAGCAGTCACATCATCAATAAATACAAGAGAACCAGTTCCACTGGCAGCCATACATGGCCATGACATAACAGTACCTCCACCATGCTTCACTGATGAGGTGGTGTGCTTTGGATCATGAGCAGTTCCTTCCCTTCTTCCTTCTCTTGTCTTCCCATCATTCTGGTAGTTGATCTTTGTTTTATCTGTCCATAGTATGCTGTTCCACAACTGTACAGGCTTTTTAGATGGTTTTTGACAAACTCTAATCTGGCCTTCCATTTTTAAGGCTAACCAATGGTTTGCATCTTGTGATAAACCCTCTGTATTTATTCTAGTGAAGTCTTGTCTTGCTTACAAGAGCAGCAGGATGAAAGCTGAAGTGTTTGGGGCACCATTATCTGCTCAGATTCAACCAAATGCTTCAAAACTCATTGGACGATGCTTCACAGTGCAGATGGACATTGACCTGAAGCATACTGCAAAAGCAACCAAAGACATTTTTAAGGCAAAGAAGTGGAATGTTCTGCAATGGCCAAGTCATATCATCTGACCTGAATCCAACTGAGCATGCGTTTCTCTTGCTGAAGCCAAAACTGAGGGCAAAACACCCAAAACACAAGCAGGAAGTGCAGACGGCTGCAGTAAAGGGCTGGCAGAGCATCACCAGGGAAGAAACCCAGCATCTGATGATGCCTATGTGTCCAACACTTCAGGCAGTCATTGACTGTAAAGGATTTGCAACCAAGTATTAAAACTGACTGTTTAATTGATGATTATGTTAGTTTGTCCAAATACTTATGAGCCCTTAAAGTCGGGGGACTGTGTGAAGAAATGGTTGTAATTCCTACACGGTTCATACTACATTTTTGAAAAAAGCCTTAAATGAAAGCTGAGAGTCTGCACTTTAAGCAGGTATTCATTGTTTCATTTAAAACCCATTGTGGTGGTGTACAGAGCCAAAATGACGACAACTGTATCATTGTCCAAATAATTATGGACCTGACTGTACCTATCTTTGCGCTCAAGGTCAGACTGGAGACGTAGCCACTCCCAACTGGTCCAGATTTCTCCTTAGTCATTAGTTCAAGCTCCACACAGTTTGATACATCTGGCGTCATATTTGCGTTTGGCCATGTCATCGTGTTAGTTTACTGTCTCTGTCAAGTAGCTGTCAGTCACTCACTCTACAGCAGGAAATGGCACAAGTTCTGTGCTAAAAATTCCCTGTGCTTAAAATTAAAATGTATTTTCTACAAACTTGACATATCTGCAGGTCGCTTGCGGTCCATTCAGAATGGCCCCGCAACCCACTTTTGGACCACAACCCACCAGTTGGTAACCACTGACTTAAAAGATAAGTGAGCACTTGCTATCGTCCTAAACATATTATATTGTGATATTGACTGGAAAGACAACAGCAAGTAGGTTGTTAATAGCGATGGTCATTTACCAGAAACTTTTACGTCTCTGGTGATCTCCCTCCAGCCAGCTGCCACCTTATTTAGGTTTTTGTAGTCATATCATAGACTACAAAAATAATGTAACGTAACGTAACGTAAACGTAAACCACTAGTTTGTAGACTCCTGTTTTAAAGCCTTACATTTGGCATTTTGACTGTAGCCATGAATCTAACTCACTGACTGTGGTGACGCCTCGCAGACAACCTGTTGCTCATAGCAGCCCTGCCTAATGCGTAATTTAAAGTCCTAATAAAATGTAAATAGGTGTGTTGCATAAATTGCACAGTTGTCATGAACGTGGAAATTAGATATAGAGACCAAAACCATTTTTTGCACCATGAGTAAACATGTTTATTTGTGCAGTAAAGTTGGGCATTGTAACAGGGGCATCTATGGGTGGTGACTCAATCTTGAAGCCAGCCTCTAGTGGCCATTTGAGGAACTGCAAATTTTGGATATTGCATTGGCTTCATGTTTCAAACCCAGAGGCTGCTGCTTGTATTGTATAGATAACGCTTCATTTCATCTTCACGAATCAGCCATATCTTGCGCAGCTTTACAAGCAAGCCACAGGAATAAATACAAACAGCGCTGCATCGCTCGCAGCCAGTTAGGACATTCCATTAAAAAGCTATGCAATCAAACTCATTTCTCTGTCTCTGACAGTCACTCATGTCACATTCTGTTTGGATGCGGTAAGCTAAAAAAAAACTTTTTTGTGTTAATAATTATATATTTTTTAAAATAGCTCTATTATGTGCATGAGTCTGTTCAGTAACCACAGGTCATCAGTTTCCTCCCATTTATCTGTGACAGTGAAATCTTCAGAACATGTAAACCAGCAGCAAATTTTCTAAGGGAATCCCGTGTGTGTGTGTGTGTGTGTGTGAGAAAGAGTGGGAGAGAAAGTTAAAGAAAGTGCTGGTGCAAATTGATCCTTCCCTCTGACCTCTGAATCCATTACGCTGAAACCTTTTCCATGCTTTCTCTTCTCTCTTATGTCTCGTTACCTATGAGACCATTAAGCTGTTGTATTGAGCATTGACCCATGAACGCTGGTTTGACATTCTGTACGTCTGTGTTTTGGTTGCAGTGGTTCAAAGTGACTAAATGTGCTGTGTTTTTATTTCTGTATGCTCTGCCAGTAAACCTCACTGACCTGTGTTAAAGATGATCTGTACATACTGTAGTTTTTACTGGTTGTTTTCAGGTGATTAAGCAGCTGATGAGGAAGGAGCTGACGCTGGAGTTTTCCAGAGACAGGAAGTCCATGTCTGTCTTCTGCTCATCCAATAAACTTACCAGGTCGGCTTCTGGAGCCAAGATGTTTGTCAAGGTGTGTTCCCCATCACTCTCTTTGATACATGTGGTTATTCTGTGGCTACAAAGACACTGTCATGTCTTCTTCCCCTTCAGTATCTAATCGTTTCCCCATGTCTCCTCAGGGAGCTCCAGAGAGCGTGTTGGAGCGCTGTAATTATATCAGGGTTAGCGGTTCGGCTCGTGTGCCTTTGAGCCCGGCGGTACGAGAGCAGCTCCTGTCCACTGTGCGGGAATGGGGATCAGGTCGGGACACGCTACGTTGCCTTGCCATGGCAACCAGGGACAATCCCCCCGATATCCACTGCCTCAACCTGGAGAACACAGCTGCCTTTGCTGACTATGAGGTGATGATTAAAATGATGATAGTGATGATGGTGCTGACATACTCTTAAATAACAAAACACTGTATCCATACCATTTGGACATTAAATTCAGATATAGATGACTTACTTCAAATCACCAGTGGCTCTAAATAACAAGATTAACTGTTGTCCCCTACGCCTTCCCTTCCATCTCTCCCCTCTCCCCAGTCGGACCTGACCTTTGTGGGCTGTGTGGGCATGTTGGACCCCCCCAGGAAAGAGGTGCTTTGCGCCGTCAGAATGTGTCGGCAGGCTGGCATAAGGGTCATCATGATCACAGGTAACACGCACGACCACGCACACATCTAAAAGTACACTATGTGTGTCTAAAAACTCACCTTTAATACGCATACATTAAACCACACAGATACAGAAATATAACAGACAACTATAACATCAGTAGAGACTGTGTGTGATTTGCATTATGGTGTCATGTTGTCAGCAGAGGACGACTCCACAGGTGCAAAAAGAAGTCAGACTGTATACAAGTTCATGGGGAAATGACCCTACCTCTCAATGGATTTAAACATTTTCCTCATGAGTCTATGTTCTCGATCATGACCTGTCAATCGGAATAGAGGTGCTCCTGCAAATACGGTCACCTCTAGTTCTAAAAAAACAAGATGGCAGCAGCCAAAATGCTAAACTCAAGACTGAGTGACGTCACAGTGGCTACGTCTGCAGTCTGTGGATGTGAGGCTACCCCAGACACTCGCTGAAGGGCACTTTTTTTGCACATAAGTCAGTTTACTTGGTAATGTTAATGCCACTCAGCCAGTGAAAACAGTTCCCATGTCCTTTTTTCCGACGTGATCGTGAAAGGCAGTAAAGCATGCTGACAGAATCCTCAGGTGTATGAATGCACAGCAGACATGATGAGAGAGAGGTTGCTGAACTTAATGTGCCGTCAGTTGCCGGTTGTGAGAATCGTGGTTCACCAAATCCACACACAATACTCATAGTTACTCTTAGACCTGCAAAAGAAGACATGAAAGCTGCCCATTGGCCATGACACAAAAATAACACCCTGCACATGCAGATAAATCACATTATGTGCATTAGTTGTGCACACACATTTAAAATTACTAATGATAGGCCATTAGATTTTAATGAAAGAAACCTTACCTGGCTAACCAGTACAATCATTAATCGAACAATGTATCTCTCCAGGTGACAACAAAGGGACAGCCCTGTCTATCTGTCGGAGGGTGGGCATCATCACGGAGCAGGAAGAGGAGCAAGAGGGCGCGGGGGTCATCGGTGGCCTGACGGGGCGGGAGTTTGATGAGTTGCCCCCTCACCTGCAACGTCAGGCCTGCAGGACGGCACGGTGCTTCGCCCGGGTGGAACCAGCACACAAGAGTCGTATAGTGGAGTACCTTCAGAGCCTGAGTGACATCACTGCCATGGTAGGAGTACTGCCAGTATCATAGGTGTGTCGATAACCAGTAAAACACCCTTTCTCCTGTGGTGTCACTGAATTATCCTCCCACATCTCACCCCTCTCTCATGACTTCAGACAGGTGATGGGGTGAACGACGCACCTGCATTGAAGAAGGCGGAGATTGGCATTGCTATGGGCAGCGGCACAGCGGTTGCTAAGTCAGCCTCTGAGATGATCCTGGCCGATGACAACTTCTCTACCATCGTGGCTGCGGTGGAGGAGGGCCGAGCCATTTACAACAACATGAAACAGTTTATCAGATACCTGATATCCTCCAACATAGGAGAGGTGGTCTGGTTAGTAACAGCTGATATAAGTGTGGTGTGCTAACTTTAACACTGACAGAGAGAGAGATTCACTGAATGGATATTTTGTGCCTCTCACTGTTTTCTTCTCCTCCATCTGTCCTTCCTTCCTCCTCAGTATTTTCCTGACGGCAGCACTTGGCATGCCTGAAGCGCTGATCCCTGTCCAGCTGCTATGGGTCAACCTTGTCACAGATGGTTTCCCGGCAACAGCTCTGGGCTTCAACCCTCCAGACCTGGACATCATGTCCCGCCCTCCCCGTTCCCCCAAGGAGCCTCTGATCTCCAGCTGGTTGTTCTGTCGCTACCTCATCATCGGATGTGAGTCATGAGCTTGGAACAGAACTGATCATTACTACTACAACATCAACAAAAACCTCCAGATCATTTATGTATCATCAGAGCATCTGACCTATTGCTGCTCACCACCCTCTGTAGGTTATGTGGGAGCTGCAACTGTCGGCGCTGCTGCCTGGTGGTTCATGGCAGCCCACGACGGACCAAAACTTTCCTTCTATCAATTGGTAAACACACATCTCCCCTTCACTACACCTCTTTCAGGCCTCACATGCTCTGCTGCCCTAAACTATACACTGTAGATAAATAGATACATGGTGGCACTAACATAAGCAGGAGAAGCTGAAACCTTGTTCTTACCATAAACACATGATTTTACTTCACTCTAAAATCACACTATCACGTTATACAGGCAGAGTTCCACGTTTATTTCAAACTATCAAACAACTTATTGACAAACTGCAGGTAATAGAAAACAGAAATAAGACAATAAAAGTGGGGCAATAAACAGCTTATATTTGTTACTGATAATATATTAATAACTGCTTATTCAGAATAGGAACTTTGCTATAGGTCAGACCTACCTGAGCTGTATGATCAGTGGTCTGCTTCTAAGTTTCAGCTACTCTGTCTTAAGTATTTTGAGTTCCAGTGTCACTACAGTACCTGAGTAATCAGGCAGGAGAAGAATATTGATAATGAAATATTAATTCAAAATGATTTAAAAAAAAACCAAGTTAAAAATGTGTGTGTAACAAAGTTAAAATGTCAAATTATCACAGACTCTGCGGCTCTCTTCAGCTCTGTGGAAAGATTTAGTGTCTTTCAGTTTGTTGTTTAGCTATCAATGCTCTCATCGGCGTTGTTTCTACACAGCAGGCAACAAACAGCTCTGATAACCCCACTGCACACTACCCGCTCGGCATCAGACAGACAGCAGACAGAGAAAGTCAGAGACCTGCTGGTGAACACAGTGGAGCATTTAGCAGCTAAAAAGACGGATAATTCCCTCAGGAGTTAGTGGAGATTAAAACAGAGCAGACATTTCAACAGCTGATATGTCCAACACTCAGCAACTTAAATTTTTGATATGTGGGTGAAATGCCCTTTTAAAGAGTCAATATTAGGGGGGTCCTTTTGACCGAGAACTCAAGGCTACATCACAGTGAGGGGAGGGTTAGGGTGGCAAAGATACGTGCTGAGCAGGACACCAACTTACACTAAGAAATGAACTCATCAGTGCTCTCTGATGGTCAGAGAAATTACTGAGACACATATTTTGGAATTTCTGCCCTGACATTGCTCATTAACTTTCAGTGATACATCTGTCAGACTCTATTTATCTAGATATCACAGCAGGTAGGTAAGTGAGGCAGGTATGAAGGTGGTAAGAATGTTATTTCCTTGTTTGTTTCCTCCACAGTCCCACTACCTGCAGTGCAGTGAGGGACACATTGAGTTTGCCGGCGTGCAGTGTTCAGTCTTTGAGTCTCCGTATCCCATGACTATGGCCCTGTCTGTCCTGGTTACCATAGAGATGTGCAACGCCTTGAACAGGTAAGAATAACACAAACACACCCACACACACACACTCAACCATATATCCTACAGTGCTGTGTCACCATTTCATTGTCATATATTACACAAAGTGAAAGTGACAGATCAGGCAGTGTAACAGTAAAAATAATGTCTTTCTTCTTTATCTGTGCTGTCCAGTCTTTCGGAGAACCAGTCCCTGCTGAAAATGCCTCCCTGGTCAAACCCCTGGCTGGTGGGTGCCATCTGTCTGTCCATGGCTCTACACTTCCTCATTCTATATGTAGACCCACTTCCGGTAAGCAAGCATGCACGAACAGTATATGTCTGAAAGATTCCTTGAAAGGTTGCACTGATTGTTAACAGCTGACCCGAACTTATTCCATGGTGTCATACATCAGTTCGCTGACACTTTTAATCTACTCAGGACTTAAAAATCCTCCATTCCTCCCGTCTGTGTCTTCAGGTGATTTTCCAGATACGCCCTCTGTCTTGGCCTCAGTGGGTGGTGGTGTTGAAGATGTCACTTCCTGTCATCTTGATGGACGAGGCTCTCAAGTTTCTAGCCCGCAACTACATCGAGCCAGGAAGCCAGATCCAGGTCAGAAGACGTGCCTGACAGTGTTTCTGTTCATGTGCAACAGCTGTATTTGTATCTCAAAGTGGTCTAACTCTTTCCTTTGTTGCAATTCATCTTTCAAAAAGTCACTGGAAGAGGAGGAGGAGCTGAGGAGGACAGGGGCTAACACAGGATTTGTTGGTACCATGATGACGAAGCTGCGCCAGTCGCTGAAGGGCGTGTCCTGGTCGTTCGTCCTGATCTCTGCACCGCTAGTGATCTGGATCTTCAGCCTGGACTCTGACATCACCAACATCTTCTGGGAGTGATGGCGGACAGAGAGGACGGGTGGACTGTGGGGGAAAGAAGAAAGGGAAAATGTAATGAAGGACTGTTGGAATGAAACGCAGAGGATTGGGTGTGTAAGGGTGAGGCGATGTAAGAGCGTAACAAGCAAAGATGATAAATACTTTGCTGAGATACAAGAACATAAGGGATAAAGAGCGACATATTTAACCAACAGACAATCAGGAAACAGTAAGAAAGAAATATCATCTCTTCCTCGATGCTAAAAGGTGCTATGTGTAGCATTTCATTTGCATCCCATAGCTCACTGAGGCTGTTCTTCTATGAGCTGGCTGTTGTTCAGCTTGTCTGTCCAACACTTTGACCCTGAGTGAAACATGATCTCAAAAGTTACAGTTTAATGCTAACATAGCATGCTCACCTGCTAACCTTTGCATTATAATGTACTGTAGGTTACATGATAAATATTAGCATGTTAGCATTCTATGATATGTTTCTTTGAGACAAGGAATATGCGATGTAAAGTACAGTGTAGATCATCACTGGTTCCCAACAGTTTTGGCTCGTCACCTCTCAGATTGTTTCACCTCGGCTGCACCAGCTGTTCATAAAACTTTCCCTAAGTTTGTGTGTAACCTTCTCAGTAACTGCTAGCTATCTTCAAACCAGTAATTTACTAAATCAAAATGCACAAATAAAATGTCTTAGGTAATAAAGACTTTAGGCCCTGTCTACGCATCTACAGATAGTTTTAAAAATGGGAAATTTCCCCCTTTATTTTACAAAATATCTCTGCACACACTAAAACTCCAAACGTTCGCATGTGTTTGTGACCTTTTGCTACCTAGACGAGATGAGAACAAGTGAGTGCGCTAACGTCAGATTGTTCCAGTATTTCCCAATGAAGATATCCTCACCTGCTCCATGCATCAGCGAATAGGCCAAGCGACATGTCAGTGTTTGAAAAAGCGCTTGCCTTGGCTCTATTTTAATGAAGCTACCTCCAACAGATTTTTAGATCAACAACAACAACCTGTTGCTTAGGCTCACTAAGGGCTGAATTTTGTGGTCGCTTGTATATCTGGACACTTTTTCACACTCCATCTGCCAAAATTTGCTCGCTGCATGCTAGGAAAAGATATTCCACAGTTTCCCCTTGTCGCAAAGGTAGTACAGTGTACAGGCTAATGTTACCTTTTTCAAAGCACTGTCAATTCCACTTCAATATAAGGACGAAGGAGCTGACTCAAAGATTCAAGTGATGCTCTGGACATGCAAAAGTTTTCCTTACACTTGACAGCAATCCCACTCTTAAAGTTGTACCAACTGCTGCTGGTTCGACCGGTCCAGATTAGCCAAAAGTGTAGCACTAACAAGTTTAAGCGTAAAGTGTCATTATTAGATCAAGTTGTGCTAACCAAACATAAGCAAACCTGTAGTCCACCGTTGTTATTGTTTTAGGTACCGTACTTATTACACAAAGCAACAATGGAGGAACTGAGCACAGGAAGTCATCGTTTCTTAAATACTCCGTTTTACATGTGGCCAGACCAAAGTGACCAGAGTTTTGAAAAATATAAGGCTGAGAAAACGTCTTTAGAAATCTTTATTTTCGTGACCTAAAGATCCATTGGCATATAGAGGAGAGGCCAAAACACAGAGGAATTATCAGTTTCCCAAAATATCTGTATAAGTGTAGACAAGGCTTTTGTAATGTGTGAATCTTTTGCTAGGAAACATCTTTACCACTGTCAGACATGTTGACTATATCCATCCACATGATGGTGTGGCCTCAAAAGACTTTTTGCAGTAGACTTACATGGCAAAAGAAACATCTGTTAATCAGTAGATACATTTTTTGAGCATTAAAACCATTGCAGAATGACTCGTTTTAGCAACAGAACTTGATCCATTCAGTCCAGTAACATTTTGATTGACTACAAGAGCCGCATGACTGAATTATTTTATCACCATTCAAGTTGGCGGAGCGGTAAACTTGAAGTTGCCGGCTTAGCCTGTGCAAGTCTCTAGTGTGCCTGCTTTATGGGCTGCGCAGTGCATCATCCGGGTAATTTTATACACAGCAGTTGAACTTTTTTGGCTTCATGCGCTACTGAGCAACTTTCAAAGAAATGAACGGGGCCCTGCCTCTGATCTGTGTCCAGTTCTCTCTTTATTTAGTGATGCATTAATCTCCACGTGGTGAAACTTCTGTAACAACGAGGCTGACGTTAAACTTTGGGAGAGCTGGTGCAAGCAGCTACTGAAGATGTGAAAGTAAACACGTCTTCAAAGTAAAAAGGCAAAGATCAGAAAGTCAGAAAATTAATTTGTGTTGCAGAAATATTTCTCTTTTACTTTTTTCTTGTGAATGACTCCTTTGTGGTCCCGACCTCCATGTCGGAAACCTCTGATGAGGATGTTTAATGAGTTCAGAGTAATTCTAACAGCATGTTGATGATTTATTGCTGGTTAAATGCTACATATAGCACCTTTTAGATGAAAATGTCTTGTTGGAAAGTGAGTGGTCTTGAATCAAACACACACGTATATACACACATACATACATACATACATACATACATACATACATACATACACACACCAGCTTTACGTCCACACTGTAATTCACCAGTAATAATCTGTGGTCAGTGACAGGCAATGAGGCCAGACGACTAGATGTACAATATATTCCCGCGACTGGCCACTGCAACAGTCTTTTTTCTGCGATGCAAAAATATCCAGCCACAATATTGTTAGAACCTCTTTGTAGATACTGTACATGAGACTAAAATAAGCATTTAACCTGTGAAGGAAGACTGTTAGCAGACCATTACAGGATGCATGTCAACGCACGTCACACATTTCTAACACTCTTTAAAGCAGAAGTGTCTGTACTGTGAAAGAAACACATCATGTCCTGCCGAGTCTGGGCTTAAAATGGGGCATCATGGGTGTCCACTTGCTGTAGAAGGGTTCACATGTTGGAGTGCAGTTCATCATCGCATTTAAAGGCCAGTCGTTCTGATAGATCTGCAGTTCAATATCCTCCTTTGTCTTTTCTGTTGATTGTTACTGACACTGAAAAGCTCAGAAAGTCTTAAATGTAACTTGACTTGACATCCTGAGGCTTCACAGATGGACTGAAACTGACTTTAAGCCTTCACACCAGGAGAAATGTTGATGATATTATTTATATTCATGTTTAAACACAGTAGAGGTTGTTCTGTGCTTCCAGGTCCGGTCAGCATTCCAATGATGCGGCTGCTACATGTGTGTAAGCTAAATGGATTAATATTATGTTAGGGCTTTGATTGTACTGCGTTTATTACACCGGTCCTGCTCAGTACACGGCAACACTTCTCTTTTAGTTATTTACTCCTGTTTACCACAGAATCTGCCTCTGTGTTAGTGTACTTCAGATGCAGGATTTCAATTTGGCGACCGACGCTTTTAGCAGAGCCGTAGATTCCTAATGAGTCACACAGTAGGCCTGACAGTGAGTCAGTGTTTCACTTAAATGTGTTTTTATGTGCGAGTTGGTGACCTGTTTGCCATTTTCTCCAGCGATGCCATTGTGACATCTCACTCTGTTTGCCATTGAAGGGATTTTTGAACAAAGCGTTTTTGATTTATGTAGTTACAATGACTTTTGTTGTGTATCACATTCAGCCACGATGACGAAACATAGGGCCGCTGTTAGACAGAGGTGTGGACTCAAAGCACAAATTTTATGACTTTAGACTCAACAAAGTGAGAAAAGACTTAAAACCTGACTCGGACTTTAACACCAGTGACTCATGACTACACTTAGACTCAAGCCTTTTGACTTGATAATACGTGTGTTATTTAAAAAGTGTGCCACGAATCAGTTCATGTCCTGTATCAGCTAACAATCTTTTTATTTCTATTAGACATAACACATGCAGCAACAAAAAATATCAACTAAGAGGAAGAACAGTCTTACAGAAAGTGTCTTACAAATTTAGGAAGATAAAGCTACTGACATTTTTACAATATGAGATGAGTTAAATTCAACAAGACAGGACAGAAACCTACTAAATTAATTCTGTTGTGCACTGGTTAATTGTGTTGTTTGCTATTTTTTTATGGATAAGTCCGGTCGCACTTGTACAGAGCCCCTAAGTCCCGAAAGGTAACATTTTTGTAATCTTGCATTCACAAGATAAAAAAGTTTCACCTTCCACGACTTCACAGGCTCCGTACACTTGTTTTAAGCATCTGTGATTTTTGCAAATTTAATATATCATTAATTTGTTGTTAAAATGGCATTATATTCAATAGAGCGCACCATTACAACTTGTTTAGGAAACAAAACCAAAGTTAAGGACTTGGGGCTCGAGTGCAAAGACTCAAGACTTTCTTGTTACTTGCAAAACAACGACTTGGTCCCACCTCTGCTGTCAGGAAAGAAAAATCAGAGATTTAGAGAATAAAGTCATGTTATGTTCTGTCTGAGGTAATGTCATAATTTTACAAGAAAAAAAGTCATATTTTTTTAATATGAAGTCATACTTTTATGAGAAATAATGTCATGACATTATGCGAGTAAAGTTACAATATGTGCAAATACTATTTATACTCTGCACCGAGCGACATACAGTGTATGTATGTAAACGTAGGACTTCAATTATAATTTTAATAAACTCATAATATCTTGTGAAATCGCAAGTTATAAATATTATTATGGTAATATTATGAATTGTGCTGTTATTTGTAATTTAACATTTCAAAATTACGACTTTACTCATAAACTGTGACTTCATTCTCATATTATGACCTCATCTTATTAAATTGCAACTTTAATCTGTAATTTAATGATTTTTTCTGCATAAAAGTGCAACATTATTCAAAATTAACACTTTATACACATAACAGTAGGCTGTAACATTTTTTTTGTCTTTCTCAAAATGATGCACCTTTATTCTTAATGTCTGATTTGTTTTTCCCCAAAGAAAATGGCCCTAGCAGTCGGTCTTAAGGCTCTTTGTGATACCATTTAATAAAAACATTAAGCTGTTGCTTTACAATAGAAAAGCATTGCATTGTTATGGAGGTGTTGGGCTAACTCACCTGTTGTTTCAATTATCCGAATCAAAAAGTTTTTGTTTCTTTGCTGCCCAAAGTTCTGCCTCTTTTTGTTTCTCTGTTTTTTGTTTTGTTGTTGTTATTTTTGTTTTTGCTCCATTTCTCACATAATAGCTTGAAAACTGCAAAATAATGACAAAGAGGGACATTTGTTGCAATATAATATTTTGGTTTTGATACTAGTAAGGCAGAAGAAACACATGTAGATGCAATCAATAGTGAGTATTTACTTCATTATTTATTGATATTTTTTTCTTTAAGGGTGTATTACGCCATGACAAATCCCTAATGTACCAATTTTTGTTTACACTGTTTGTTCTATATTATTATTATTATCATTATAATTATTATTTGTTATATTAGCTCATGCCTATATCTTGGGAGACGAATGAGTGGATGTGAGTTTTTATTGTTCCAGACTGTCACAATAAATGAGAAGTTGTTCTTGACAAACTCACCTGTTAAAATAAAGGTTGAATTGAAAAACATTCTAATCAGAGAGACCGTTTTCCCTCTCCTTTTTCACTGTTCCCTCATCGCTAAGAAACATTTCCACTGGTGCTAATGAAGGAGCACCGTTTTGTAGATTTTATTTGTAACTTCTTTATCGTTCGTTCTACTGTTGGAGGGTTTGTTGTCATTGAAACGATGTTACAGGATGAAAACAACAATAAATAAAATGGACCAGAGCTCAAGTGTGCTGTGTTTGATTGACATGATACAAAAGTTACACAAAACACTACATAATAATGTCTGCTGCTGTTTTTATCTACATTTTAGACAGTTTATGTTCTCTATATACTGTGTACAGAAAAAAAGTTTCTGAGACACCCTGTTGCTGACCACATGATGGGGCCAGTGAGCAAGCTATCAGCACACCAGTGTCTCTGGTTTCAGGCGAAAAAACTTTGTCAGGAGCCAAAGCACTACAAGCAAGGAGTTTAAATGGTTTTATGACACTAGAGGGGCTGAGAAATCAACAATTTTAACAATGAAGACATCAGCTCCAGCAACAATATTATTTCCATCAAACCATCAGACCTACAGTCATGTGTCCTGATTATAAGACATATTAGGTGTGGACAAATGTGTGTGTGTGTGTGTGTGTGTGTGTTACAGTCAGCAGGGTGGGCAGGCAAGACTTGAGCTCCATTTATAGACATACTGTACTTAGAAAGAGAGAGTTAGTGTGAGCGCACATGTGCCACTGAATACAGCTGCCACACGCTTTAAATCTTCAAGAGAAGGACAGACAGAAAGAAAGAAAGAAAGAAAGATTGTTTAAACTTTCTTCTGTTGGGAAACAGAAGCAGCAGTGAAGAAGAAAACGTGTTGAATCCTCACCATATAAATACAGATCATCTACTGGAGGAGCTCAACTCATACAGTAAGTGACTTTAAACATGTTGCCACATATGACAGTGTCCCCTCATAAAGGGTTAAGTAAGGGTTTTATGACTCAACTCCTGTGGCTCTATGGGAATGCATTCTCGAGGTACTTGTGACTTAGGGTGATCAAAACTGCATGAGGATCAGCTAGTTCACCCTCCTATCAACCACTGTCGATGGGTTTGTGTCACTTTGACATGGAAACTTTCATTTATTAACACAAGTGAGAAAAGGTAAAAGCACAACATGTTATCTAGATAAAGAAAGGTTTGACCATGTTTATTGTGTCCATTAGAAGAGTCTATTCCAACTGAAGTGGCATACATGACCTTGATAGGGAACATTTTCTGATATGACTGAGTTTACTAGGTGTGACCTAGGTTATTGCTGTTGTGCCTTCTCATTTGTTGATCCTAAACATAAATTTAAACCCAAGTAAAGAAAAAATTAATCACTATTTTAGCCTGTCAGTCTGTGCTGATCAATTTCAATAGTAAAAAAAACTCCTCTCTAGTAAGTTATATTTTTTTTTTTTTCATAATACTTCCGGGATGCTGTCAAGGACTCTATTAAAATTTCCTTGGATGCTGTAGACACTTTGACTTGCAATCTAGTTGGAGACGAAAAAGCCAATCAGAAATTGCCTTCTTCAAGTTTCCCATTGGTGGATTGTGTGTCACATTGTAACGCTGTGCCAGGTTGAGCAAGCGCGCAGCAGCTCGCCAGCACACCAAGCAAGAGTTTGTAAGAGGGTATAAGAGCGACACTGAGTGGGAGTTATTACTGCACATTAATGTGGATAATTGCGACGCAAATTCATTTAGTGAGCACAGAATAGTTTTGTTGCTCAAATAAAAATGTTCTGCTTGCATACGATTTCCTCACAAACATATATAAAGCCCGTCAGTCACATAATCACAACATGAAGACCTGTAAGATAAAAATGACCTTAGACATCAAAATCACAGCTGATTTGTATGGAATCAGATTTGTGTGATGCCGAATGAAGTATTTGTTTTTCATTAAAGGAGCCACCTGCAGAATGACCATCTGATATCAATTACTCACCGTGTGTTACCTAGACTTAATGGAGAAAACTTCTTGTATGCCCCCACAGTGAACGGAGAATCCAAACATGACGAATATCCTTCATGAAAAGGAAATAAATGGGGACCACGTTTAGCAACAAAACTATATCAGAACATCCGTTTACAAACTCTCAACCAACTCATGCTGTATAATCCAAGTCTCATTTATCCAGTCGCACGCTCAGAACGTCCCGGTAGTTGCATTTTCACTTAAATGTTACAATATAACACACTTCCACCTACAAATGACACGCCCTGAGCATGCCTGGGTGTGTACATGCGAATAAACTTCACTGGAGTTCTAACACACGCCCACGCCTAGGCACGACTCGGCCATGCATGTAACTGTTGTTACTGACGTCTTTTAAATCCTAATGTTTTAGTGAATATACACCCGCGTGAGTTGAGTGAGAGTTTGTAAATGGATGTTTTGAAATTGTTTTGCTGTTGTTAAATGCTGCCCGTGTTTCCCTCACGAAGAATGTTCGCCTTTTTTGGATTGTGAGATAAATTCAGGATAACACACAATGAGTAGTTGATATGCAAATGGTCATTTTGTGGGTGAAGTACTCCTTAAACAAAACTCTGAACACAAATGTACACAGACACACACTCACACTCACACACACACACTCACACACACACACACAGCTCATTGGATGACGTCTATCTATGGCTAGTCAGCTGTACCCCTAGTGTACAAACATGTACCTTATACAGGTTGAGTCACTGCATTCTAGAGCTTCACATACACACACACACACACACACACACACACACACACACACACACACACAGAGTTTTGAATTAATTCCATCAAATATTTACACACTCAGGAAGAACAGAGTCCATTGATTTTTAGTTAGGAATGTGTGTGGGTGTGTGTGTAGGTGTGTGCACATGGGTTAGATCAGTGCACGCTACTTGATAGCTTTGAAGGTCAAGTGGGGTCGGACTCCTCCAGATGTCATGGCACCTCTCAGCTGACACCTCGCACTGTACAGTATATAGCTCCTCGGGGTTTCACTCATGCAACACTGGTGGTGGTTACTGGTGGCAGACTGAGGGGCTCTCTGTAGGGTGTTCCTGTAAACACACACAGTTTACATTCAGTGATTCTCACCAAAACCAATAGTGTGTGTCTCCCTCTGGCCTTGTGTTGAATGAATGTCTACAAAACATTTAAAGTTCCTGGATATTTTCACAGTTAAAAACACAATTTACTATTTTTTATCATTGAAATATATAGTAACAGCGTTAAGGATTAACTATATGGAGAATAAAAAACATACATGTTTATACCAAGATAAATGCCCTTTAATATCTGGGTATACTCGGCCATCGTCTGCTTATCAATGTGCTGGGCTGCCTCATGACAGTTTGGGATTCTGGCATCAATATGATGAGGTACTTACAAAACTACTCACAAAATGTACATTCCCAACTGATGACACTCTCCAGGTTTCCAGCAGCAGTAAGATGTGCTTTAAATGTTAGCTAACGTTGACATACCAATGCTGAAGTCAAGTTCAAGCTCTCTCTTTCTCAACCACAGTGCCAAAAAGACATCTTCAACTGTAAATACAGTACAAGCTCTGTGCAAGGCAGCTAAATGTCAATTGAAGGAAACTGTAATGTGACACTAGAGTTTGGTGGTGCAAAGTTAAGGCTTTCTTGTCCTTGTTCCTGGTAGAACTTGGTCTCCAGCTGTTTGGCGGACTTTTCTTCTTATGCGTTTCCTGTGCTCATGTGTCCACAGCTGTCATGGCTCCCAGCTTGGCCCAAGCGTACAGGAGGAGGTGGTGGATGGCTATCACAGCCATTATAGAGAACCTGCTCTTCTCTGCTGTTCTGCTGGGTTGGGGCTCACTGCTCATCATGCTGAAGAATGAAGGCTTCTATTCCCATCTTTGCATTGGTAAGACCGCCATCCAAGCAGCTCGTAATCACCCACAGTCAGCGTGTTTCTAGCATTTTTTAGGCACAGATTGTGGGTGGTTTTAGCAACTGTTGCTGTTTGTCCAGCAGGGATTGTTCCCCCCTAAATTATGCCTAAATTACCCAAAGGCACCCTTTGGCATTTCTGTGAGATGCACACTTTAGCGTCTCTATGTAATACACAGCTGTCTCCTGGGTGAAACTCCTTGTAACACGTGGTTAACATTGTCAAATGGTCACAATCAGTTATGATTTGGGTTAAAATAAATAACATAACAAAGTAAAAACCTACATGAGCGATGTGAGTACATTTTGGACGGACGTAAGTTACGTAATGTTAAATTAAAACAGCATACCCTTTTGGCTTCACACAAGACACAAACAGTGGTCTCCTGAATGAAAGTCTGTGTTTGTTTGACCCATCTACCACCCCACCATTAAATACTGCCATGGATGGGTTTACATTGCAGTTAATGGAAAGCCTGACACGTCTCATGGAGATGCCAAAGGGTGCCTTTCACCTGCCAAGGGGCATTACAAAGCATCTGTACTTGATGAGGTGGGAATGGCAACAAGCTGAGGAGGCAGAGGAACATCTACCTGAATTGTATTTCATTTCATTTAATTTATTTATACAGAAGAGGAATTAAAAGTAACATTGTGTTTTAGCAACATGGGATAAGGGATTTAAATCAGTGGTTGCAGGTGTGTCCTTCCATCAGATAGTGTTTATATGTGTGTTGGAAATGTGTAATAGAGGTTATTACTCCTATGTAGTATAGGACTTCATTCCAGATCTTAGTGTAAGTGTGACAAAATGATCTCTGACCATAATTGTTTTTGTGGGGAGGATTGGAGTTGGGATCTGAAAGTGTCAGAGTGTAGTGCAGTGATGAGTCCAAGGGGGAGGTTTCCATGGATCTTGTAAGCTCTGTTGTACAGTCTTGCTTTTGGTTTAATGGTTTCCTTGGTGGTGAGGGACCAAATTGGGAGACAGAAGGATATTGTTGAGAGAATGACTGCATGTAGATAAGTGTCCCTAACAGCAAGGGTGAGATATGGTCTCATCTTGTTATAGACATACAATACAGTATTGACCCCCAGCAGCATCTGGCAGTCTGTCTGGTTTAAGTTGTTGTAGAGCCTGCGTTACTGTAAGCTATTTAATTGAGTTTCCTTTTAGCCAAATGCTCTGGGTGAATTTGAGTTCCCTCTAGTAAACAGTTAGGCAGTGTAGGCTATCTATCTAAGGCTTTTATTATGAAAGGTAACAGTGGAAGGAGAGGATCTGGTATGTGCTGCCATTGTCAAGACTAAATAGAGTACTTAAGTTTGCCGTCATAGTTTCACCATCGTGACGACATGACCTAATGTCTGTTCCACACAGTGTAATTGTTTGATGGCTTTATTCACAGCGCTAAACTCAGAAAAATCGTCATTTCAAAAATTAGGTTGTTATAGTGCTGCATAATATTGCCACGCTATACTTCTACTTATAGCGTGTATATAACCTAAATTATTTGGGCAGATAATATGGCCAAAATTCGACATAAGAGAAACATTTGTCCTTCAACTTTGACTACATTTGAGCACCAAGTATCAGCCCAAATAATTTAAGTTCACAGTTCTTGTTGCTTCCGTTTAAATTCCACAGGACATACAAATCAATTGCACAAAAAAATCCTGTTGTGTAAGGGCCTAAAATCTCGCAAGTTGTATATTATGTGTCTTTAAATTAAAAAAAAACTAGTATTTTTATTGCAGTCAGGAAGTGTTTGGTTCTCTTCTTTCAACACTCCTGACCTGTTCTTTAAACAACCCTCTCCAGAAAACGAAACTGACCACACCAACGTGACTTCCATGGAGAGCGGTCAGTGGCGGAGTTGCGTGGAGCAGGAAGAGATGTTGAACCTTGGCTTTACCATTGGCTCGTTCCTCTTGAGTGCAGCCACTCTACCCCTGGGCATCCTGATGGACAAATACGGGCCGCGCCCACTGAGGCTCATCGGCAGGTGTGACAGACCAGATGAGTTTCTTAAATATTCAGTGAAAGTGACATTGAAACCATATGTGCTCTGACACCTTGTGTATATTTCAGTTCATGTTTTGCAGCCTCCTGCGCAATGATCGCTATCGTTGCATACAATCCTGAAGGTAAGACGACACATTAATATGAACCCTTGAATAATCACACGTTTAACGGACATGCTGGGTGCACTTATTTTAAGTGCGACTCCCACTCACACACAGGCACACACACACACACACACATACACTATTACCAAACTAGCTGAGGAGAAAAAAAACTAAATGTACCGTCAACGTTTCATCATAGTTTATTATTATCTTCATGTCCATGTGTTCCATCAGTGCTGTCCGCCCTCATCTTCCTCGCTGTCTCCCTCAACGGCTTTGGAGGGATCTGTCTGACCTTCACCTCACTCACAGTATGACTCCCACGCACGCACACACACACATACACACACACACACACACACACACACACACACACACACACACACACATACTCTATTACTAAACTAGCTGAGGAGTGAGAATATTCACCCACTCTGCATTTTCTCTCAGCTCTACAAAATATTTTTACCAATTTTAAACTGACTGTTTTAGTTCCATCTCATCTATCTCATCTCTAGCAGTAGCTTGTTTTTACAACCTGATCTCACAGAAATACTTCTCTTAGACCTCTTAACAACACATTATGCTGGGGTGGCACATAAGGTGTTTAAGGCATACTATGCATAATTTTGTTTAAAAAATAAATAAAGGGGTAAAAAAAAACTATATATAGTGTCACACAACAGTAATCCCTCTCAATAATCACTGTAACCCACTATCAGTGTGTGGTGGGAACACACTCTCATTCCAAAGACATTAAATACTGCCACTTGGTCATTGACACAAAACAGGCACCTTTTAGCCGCAGTGATATGGCGTCAGTTAATAATGGTACGGAGGCTGGTGTTCGCTTCCCATATGAATGTTGAGCTAGACCATGATGGGATTTTTTTTTTCTAAACCTAACCATGTGCATTTGTTGCACTATGAAATCAACATAAATATGCAGTGGTTTACCAAAGTTTATTTTGAAAAAGACTGAATGAATCTTACCAGCAAAAACTGTACATTTCAAACAGAAGTGTAATTTGTAAAGATACAAATACACATACATGTAACAGGTGTAAATTGACACGGCATCCCAGATCATCAACAACAGACACACCCAGGATACACAGTACATAATATGTAGATGTAAAAGTCCACTGACCAAGTGGCAATATGTGATGAGTTGGGAGTGAGAATGTGTTGGTGGTGGTGTCCACACAGCTGACGTTGCGCTAGACTTTTTCGTCGCCGGTCATTTTGACCGACAGGATCATAAAAATCCAGTCATAATCTATTTTTACCGGTCATTTTAATTTTCGTTTTTAAATAATAATAAAGATATTCAAAGACATTTAGTTTTCATTAGTTCGTTTTTAATAAATCCAAAAAGCAAGTTATAAAGTGTGCATTAATAAGGACATGAACGAAAAGATGAACAGACATCCACACACCCGTGCCATTCGGCTCCGGTGTGTCCAAGGCGTTGTGTAGTTATGCCTGTAGGCTCGGTGACACAAAATTAAAATTGTAACTAAGTGATTAGGGTATTGAAAAATGTGTTCAGTTATGCACTGTTGTGTTTTTTTAAATTATAAACACGGTATTTTCTCCTCACGTTCCACAGTGCGTGCTGTTATTTTATTTTGAAAATTGGCCGGATTCTCTCGTCTTTTCTGTGTCCGACTTCCTGTTTGGTACGATCCGCTCGATCCAGCTTGACAGAAGCGCTCGCGGCTCGCATGAAAAATAGACCAGACCCCGAACTGAAGCGCTGCCTCCGCGGGTGCTCCGCTCTGCTCAGCGGCCTGTGTGGACAGTCAGATAGGTTAACATGGATTGAAAACTGCCTCCGCTGCTGGGTGCTGTGCTTCGGTTCCGCGTCCGGTGTGTCCAGGGCGTTATGTCAGCAACGCTACATGAAGCAGATGAATGACTTTTTCTCTGCAGTGTGGAAACACTGCTAGGCAGGGGTGGTAATTGCAACCAGTCAAAACGACCGACGGCCTTCAGATTTTCCAGTCATTGTTGTAAAAAAACGGTCAATGACCGAGAATATCCAGTTAGTGCAACCCCTGCCACACAGGGCATGAACAGCAGTCTTCTGAGTGAAATTCCTGTGTTTGTTTGACCCAACCACCACCCTGACCTTTTCTGTACACTCATTTTTTCATTCTTTAAACTGCCTGTAGGGCTGTTACATTAGCCATCACCCATTGCATGACTTTGCAGCAGACTACCAAAGTTAGCCACGGAACATCGTGGAAGATTTTTCAGTTAAATAGACAGAGGCTTTTTATCTCATGAGTTGTTGGAGACCAGAGTAGAGCTAAAAGAGAGCAAGTATTGGACTTACATTCATCAGACGGACACAAACACAACTGATGAATGCCAGTGTTGCTCAGTATCTGTTGGATGAGTAAATAGACAAGTGTTTGCTGTAGGGATGCACCGAAATGAAAATTTGTGGCCGAAGCCGAAGTCGAATATTATTAAACGCTTGGCCGAATACCGAGTACCAAATACCGAATATCATTGTTTAGTTTTTCATTATTTTTATTTTTGCAGATGAACCCCCTCCAGATTAGTGTTGTCACGGTACCAAAATTGGGACCCACTGTGCGATACCAATGATACCGCTATTATTCGGCCTTGCTTTTAACTTATTCCACCGAATACCGAATGTGTGTTTTTTTGCAATATTCGGCCAAATATATTCGGTTACCGAATATTCGGTGCATCCCTAGTTTGCTGAGTTCAACTAAGTTGAAGTTCACTATAATAACCTTATCAAGTGATAATATGTAAATGCTGTGACCAACAACAACGTAACATCCTCTAGTTTTCCCACTATTTTTAATCAATGACACCCGAGAAACCATTTTATAATTGACCCAGATGAAACACAAGAGAGGTCATCTCAGCTCATCAGTCTGTGTACATCATCAGTGCGGGGGAGGTACAGGGGGGACAGGGACGTAGGACAAAGGTCCCAGCTGTCTGGACTTGAACCTCGGACGTCACAGTATATTGCATAGACCGCTAGGTCACCAGGACGCCCCATATACCCACTTTATATGTCCCCCTCTTTGTAAAATCAAAACACCTGTCGTGACATCACAGACTGGGGCGTGGCCAGAGGTGTAAACGCTTTAAGGTTTCAGCCTACAGTGCAGCAGCGTTCCCTGACCCCAGTGAGTCACCGTGGATTCACTTTCTGAGTCCAGTACACCTACATCCAACCATAAACCTCAGTAGTCATGCTCCAACACATTGTGTGTGTGGTTTTGACTGCTTTGTGTGTACCTTAGATCATGAGCACATGTCTGTGTGCGTGTGTGTGTGTGTGTGTGTGTATTTGCACAGTAGCACATGCTGTTCTACTTGTTCTAAATTCTGCTGCAGCCTCTCAGCCAATCCGAAGCATGGCCAGCCAACACACCCTCCCACGGCCCTCTACCCTTGTCCACACCATCTCTCTTTCTCTCTCTCTCTCTCTGTCCATCTGTCTATCTCACTCTCTCTCCCTCAGTCTCGTTCTGTCACTCTCTCCTTCACCCTCTTTCTGACCCTGACCATGTCCTGGTATTGACATGGTCATCCTGGCCGCACTGCTGTCATTCCTGGTCTGGTGTGTGTTTATGTATTTTGTCTGGTGGAGTCTTTATCTCGTTGATAAGCTCTTACATAACAACATGGACATAACCTAACTAGCTGCAAACACACGCTCTGTGAACTTCGATAATGCACTTTGCACTATTATAAAGTGACTGACCAGTGCAGCAGTCTTATTCTAATCTTCTGAGATCTCCTTCAGATCTAAGCAGGGCTCAATATTGTCCTAATTACATTTTTAGAAAGAGTGCTTGTGGCTCTGGGAAAGAGCTCTGAGAACATGCCCACAATAACACTGTCAACATGAAGATGTTCTGCAGGTATAGCCTACCTGTGGGAAGAACTTCGGGTTGACAGGTTTTCCCTACATATTTGGTTTATCTCGCAAACTACATGTGGACAATAATGAAAGAGAGAAGAGGGAGGCTTTGGGGAAATGAAGGCAAGAACAGATGGAAAAGCTAATGGAAAGACAGGGGGAGAGCCATGGAAAAGAAGGGAGGGCAGATAAGAGTGGAAAAAACAGAGTTGCAAGCAAAGCTGCAGCATGGAAACATTACTGAGCAAAGAGGTATGACGTTAGCTATACTTGAGGACTGGAGACAGAGAGAGAAACACAGGTGATATTTAGTCATGGTCTATGTTTGTTTATATCAGTGATGCTTGGCGCTCAAACATAGTCAAAGTTGAAGGACAAGTTGTTTCCCGTCTGTTGAATTTTGGCCATATTATCTGCCCAAATATTCATGTTCATTGTTTTTGTAGCTTCCATTTACATCCCTCCTGATGTAAATTCAACAAATGCTCGACTGGAATGCACTTCTATTTTGATTTGTTTTTCTCATGTAGCATTTCATTGTGTAACCCTGTATTTTACAATGACAATAATTAAACCTTCAATCACACAAAGTGAGCCTCAGAGAACCCTAACATCCCGATTACTTTGTGTCTGTTATTTTTTGGCCACTTGACCATTTGGAAACTAGCTAGAGGGAAACTTGTCCGATTTTCAACCAGCTCTGTGTCATGACACTGTGTGCTGATGAACTGTGTATGATTTGCCTTCTGTGCCGCAAGTGCTCGCATGGCTGACAGATTTCAACAATGAATTTCGCTTCACCCAGCGGATGTGAGTAGGTGCAGCTGGAGCTACATGACTCACCCAACATACGGACAGGTCAGGCCAGGATCAGCCCCCTTGGTCCCTTGGTCCAGAAGCAGAAGCCCTGAAGAAAATGCTAGGTTAGCATTTTGCTAGCTATGAAGTGCTAGGTTAAAAGAAAGGCATTTTGCTACTTATAAGATGAATCATCATACATTTTTATGTATAATGAACTAAAAAGTGGATTATTCCCATGTTTGGCCTCATATTTAATCACAACAATGTGGCATTATAGTAGGGTTTAAATAATCGTCACATTAGTGGGTTTTTCTTGTACTGGTGGTGAGCACAGTTTGTATGTGACCCTCCAGGGCTAGAGAGGGGCGCCCCTCAGGCCCACATGAGTCTGACGCTGCTACAAGGGGACACCTTGTCTCTGTGCTGACTGTGTTACATCTGTGTAAGTCTAACGGGACGCCGTAGCACAGGTTTGTGCTAATAACGTTAGCACAAGCCCAAAGCTTTTTCCCCATAGTTATATTTGTTTGGAAAATGTGTTTAGTATAAGACAGTTGTTTTGTTGGTGAAAGTTTGCTAATCGTCGCTAAT